TATTACTGTTTTATACATCTCTCATTTCCATTTACTATTAGTTATTTGATAATGAAAATTTCCAGAATAGAAGCAGTGGCAGGAAGGAGATGGAGGATAGGGACAAAACATGGGACATTCCACACAACATGGAGCATATCTTGAGTTCAACTTTCATAGTATCATTTTTTTGCTTTCTTCTTCGACGTGAATTCCTAAGCTCTCAGTAGTAATCTCAATGAAACATAATTACATTATATTGGATTCTCTATATCTTAAATTGCTTCTAATAGGTGTGTGTGTGTTGGGTCCTGTCTCTTCATTTGCTATTGTAAATTTCCTAAAAACAAGATCATGTCTTCCCTCCCCTAACTTTACCTAGGACAATATACTATGTACCAGGCATGACGTAGGAAGTCATTTAAATTCTTCAGGTCTCAAGACTCTTAAATGTAAACTAGGGGAATGGATTATGATCTCATATATAGACTCCAGCTTTTAAAATTATGACTAGTGTGAATCTACCATGCATATTTTATTTTTTCTACTGAAATAATGCAACTGCTTTGGGGACACAGTGACTATGTAGATTATAGAAAATAATGACACTTAAAATCCGTTGAACCTAAAACTGTCCTTCCTAGCTGATTCTTTTAAAAGAGCCGCATATAAATTGCCACATACACATAGCACATATGGTGTGCACAGTGATGTGAAATGACCAAAATGAGTGAAAGGTACCAAAAGGAAAAGTAAAGACTGGGTATCATACAACGGGCACAGTTACTCCATGGGTAACTATATTTTTAAAAAATTAAATTTCAAGCATAGACTTTGTGAAGCGAAGAGGCAATTAGACATTATGCGGGTCACCTTTATTCTCACTGGTCTGCCTCACACGTGAGCAGCCAGTCTCACTGGGACAATTCCGATGATAACATTGAAATGTGAGGCCTAAGCATGTGACAGGGAGTCCCATAACATAAATTCATTCTGCCATATGTTTGGAATAAGACATGAAATCTTTTAAATTAAGT